CCGCAGGTCTCTTCTCATCTCATGAATTACCAGCCTGTCTCCACCCCTCAACACTGAAATCTAGTGATATTTTGTATTTCTCTAGCGGGGAATCTCCTTGGTGTTTCCCTCTGTATCCGAGATGCCAGAATAAGAAAGCAGGCTATCATTTACCTGGAATCTTCAAATACATGACTTTAATCTAATGGTGGTATTCTGAAAAATGTATCTAGAGGCCCTTGCGTGTACTTTTAATTTAACAAAAAAAATTATTATAGGCCTTTCTTCATAATCTCCAAAGTAGCTAGATAAATTTGTTTTTTCTCCTCTAATATTTTCATGTAAATCAATCTCCTTGCCTCCTCCATCCTCATTTATTGTTTTCATTTCTCTTCTGTGAAAATTTTCAATTTGTCCTTGTTGTCCTAGCAAACAAATATCAAACACAGACTTTAATAGTCCCTGGCTGTGTCTATGCAGCCACAGGGGTGAGGCTGAGGAGTTATTCAGTGAATTCATGCAGGGTAGACAGGAGACATGGTAAAGTGTCACACAGGGGTGGGACCTGTCCACCCTGGGTCCTCTGCCTAGTAACCGGGTCACAGGGGGTGCTGTTGGCAGGCAATGATTGATTCTCTTGCTAACCTCAAAGACCGAGGATGTAACCTCCAACATCCCATGTTCTTTTAATAACCCATTAGAAATCTGTCATCCATGACTTTGTTTAAATCTTTCTGAAGCTATTTTTACTCTAAGCGAATAGGACCTTCTTGTGTAACGAATTCAATGATCTGACAATCTGCCACCAGGCCCCTGCCACCCGGCTGAGCAGGAGTGACTGGCTTCACCACCCAGACCAACACACGAGAGTCTCGACCTGCCTCACTTCTCCCTGGGCATTTCTGGCAGAACTGGAGTCACCAGGAAATGACTGCAACCCTTTGATTCACGTACCTGGTGTATATGGTCTCCAATTCTCTGTCATTCTCGGCTATTTGGTAGTGAACACTTTTATGTACAAGATAGCTTTAGGAATATATTTCACTTGGAGAATCCAGGTAAATAAAAATCTAGATAGCTCCAAGGGGTTTTGTGTTTGTTTTGTTTTTTGTTTTCTTTTAGTATATCTAAATTTATTATGAAGAGTCCTGAAAAAATAACACATGGTGCAGGGATATTCTGCCCCAAATATAAAGAAACCTTGGAACTCCTCCCTCTTGCTAATAATTCTAGGGTTCTGTACATGGGAGCTTTACCATCCAAAGCCTTACTAAACAAGACCTCTTTGAGATCTAATCTTTAACCAACTTACCAGCCTCTTTTCCTGTCCCTGTACACCGCATTCTTATTCGAGAGTGAGCTACTTATTTGCTATTCCTGGAAAACCAAGCCTATGGAGATCTCTGTGTCTTTGTACACGCTGTTCCCTTTGCTTAGAATTGTCTTTGTTAACTGTCAAACAGAACAGTTCAAAATCCAACTTCTCTGTGAAGTCCTACTTCAGATTCTTTGACCTCACATAAATCACCCCTTAAACTTTAATCTCACAAACTTTTGCTCATACATTTATTTTAATAGGTCTTCGAATTCATTGCAATTACTTATTATGCTTCCAACTATCTATGTAGACTATTAGTTCTTCCAGGGGAGGGACCACATCTTCTATAAATAGCGACCTCACATATCCCGAACCGCAATAAGTAACGGGGTGAAGATGTTGAAAATATGAATGAATGGGAGAATAAACGATGGAGTGGTAAGAGGATTCCTATAAAAAAAAAAAAAAGCTGGCTCACTCTTGTGCACACGCTCACACGCATACACCGTACAATCATGCAGACACCACATATGCACACATGCCACACTCACAACACACACACAGGACCAGGTAACTGGAGTGAGGCAGAGGCTGGATAAATTTGCAGGTGGAACCCCTCTGCATCAACGAATCATTCATTTGTAACTTTTTGTATTAGTGTCCTTGATCAATTTTCTTCCTTGTCTGAAAGTCATGAATCCTTATTGCTACTTTTCTCCTGGTACCTTAACTTTGATTTGTCGTGAAGGAATTTGTTTTAAGTGTTACTGGCCTAAGGTTTGGTTGTTCTACTTCAAAAGAATGTTCAGCTATTTTAACGTGTGCAACACAAGAATGCAAAGTGAAAAACATAAATATCCACACATGGGCTGCTCACCTCCACTTCTGGAACATTATATAAAATATTCGGGAAAATCAGTACGCATCATTAGCTGGCAATCTGCCAGACGGTTTTCAAGTCGAGTGACAGTCTTCACATTCAAACCAATTCCGATTAATTTGTGAGAATCGTTTAAAGAAACATGACATCAGATCCTTGATTTAAATCAAGATGTATGGCACCTTCTACTTTTCACTTATCTTGTCATTTTTATGAGGAGAAATGCAGTCATTTGTCTGGCGCTTTCTTATATTGTGTACATATAAACTCACACTGCTTATCGCTCCCGGTTCCATTATCCTCAAGATAGTCACTTTTTTTTCCCTCCTCCTAACAGTTGCTCCATTATTTTATTAGTGTCCAAAATGCGACCTCCTAGACAGTGATGATCACAGAATAATGGAAATTAGAGATGGAAATGACAGATGAGGTCTCCTTGTCTATTTCCTGGGGCTAATGTTCCTGACAGTCTGTAAACTCGGTGCGTTAGCTTGCCTTGTTTTAAGTGACACCAAGGCCGGGGCCTCCACCATCTCCCTCGAGGCTCTTGTCTACATCCTAAGACTGTCTCTACCTACAGCCAGAGGGAATGACGGAGGGCTCTGCAATTACCGAGCAAAGTCAGGCCCATCCTTGCATGATCTGTCTACAAGGCTAGGGACGTGGAGGCTTGAGCGATTAACCACCAAATCCAATCACCGCAGAGAGCCAGCCTGCATCATTCCGGGCAAAATGGAAATGATATTTTGTTGTTGTTTCTTCAGCAGCAGGTTTGCAGGCCGAGAGATGAGGAGGGCATCACCCTTTACACTATTTTACTCAGTAAGAACCATAGTCAACTGAGATTCTCAGCAGGCCATGGGCTAAAACTCTGGCTCCCCTGCAGCCATGCAAACATTTCTGGGGCAAGGAGGGTGAGGGCACGGGCAGAATTTGAGTAGCCAACGGCATTCTTCATTCGCACCTGCTCGACATCTGTCAGCCGAGTCCTCTGCCCTTCCCACCAATCTTGCAACAACAGACCACCTCGCGTGGATTTATCCCTCTACAAACACCTTCCTCTACATTCTGTGGACTGCCTCTGTGAGAATGATCTCGAATTCAGACCCAACTGAGCAATCCTTCATTTTCACTAACGGAAAAAAATTTCATGGCATTTTGACTTCCTCAAGTTTTCTGACCTGTGACTCAGATTTCCCTTCTCTAACTTCATTCTCTCTTGTCCTTATCCCTCAACTTCAACCCGTTCCAGAACATTTGCCCTCTTCTAACGCCTGTGGGCATCCATCATGCCTTGACTTAGTCATCAGCTCGCCAAGTTCTCAGAGTTGAGTTCTTCTATCCCTTTATCATAAATCACTCCCTTGGGCTCTTCAATCATTTTTATTGCTCTTCTCCAAACTCTCACCTATTTGTCACCATATTTATTGCTTTGAGAGTCCAGAACTATATTCAATATTCTAGGTTTGGGCTCATCAGAATCACACAAAAGGGGCTGATCACTGACCTCAGGGATGTGACCCTCTACAGCAGTGTCTGAAATGACATTGGTCTCTTTTTTCCACCATCAGCCTGCAAACACATATCTAATCTGCAGTCTAAGCTATCACTCCAAGATGCTGTTTGCCTTGATTTCTTCCTAGTTTTCCCTATTCCATTGATTGCTAGTATTAGTTAGCATTTATTTATCCCTTTGTCCTCTCCCCTACTCCATGACCTGGCCAATGCAGAAAGTAAGCTCTCAGCTTCCAAAAGACAATAGAAAGTTGCTACTAAAAAGCAATAGAAGGGTTGGGCATGGTGGCTCACGACTATAATCCTAGCACTTTGGGAGGCTGAGGCGGAAGTCTCACTTGAGATCAGGAGTTCAAGACCAGCCCGAGCAAGAGCGAGACCCCATCTCTACAAAAAGTAGAAAAATTAGCCAGGTGTGGTGGGGCGCATCTGTAGCTCTAGCTGTTTGGGAGGCTCTGGCAGGAAAGGCAGGAGGATCGCTTGAGCCCAGGAGAGTGAGGCTGCAGTGAGCTCTGATGATGCCACTGCACTCCTGCCTGGGTGACAGAGTGAGACTCTGGCTCAAAAAAAAAAAAAAAAAAAACCAGCAGTAGAAGGTGCATAATGGTGAGAGTTGCACAACAATGTGAATGTACTAATGCCACTGAATACACACTTAAAAATGGTGAAAACAGTAAATTTTATGTTATGTGTGTTTTATCCCAATAAAAACACTCCAAAATATAAAAAGGAATGAGGGGAACCACTTTACCCAGTCATGTGTGCCTGGGGGAAAGCAAAGCTCTTACAGGGAAATGGTAATTGGAGATCAGGCGGAAATACTCTTTTCCTCCACACAGAGCTGTCCCCAGTCTTCGCATGTCACCCCTGCTGACAGGCCTGGTAAAAACAAGTTTCTGCTCACATCAGTCTCGCAAAGCTCGTCAGGCGCGGGGAGACCTACACTGGAGTCTGTGTGGCTTTGTGTGTGTCTCCAACAAAATCACTGGCTCAATTTTGCCTGTGGAATCCTAGCGGCTGGCAGCGGTGTGAAAAGGAAGAGAGGGACAGCTCGGTTTGCAGATTCCAGCTGGAGGCTGTGGGGCCGTGAGTCAGAGGCAGCATCTCTTGACTCGTAAATGGAGAGAACGATAAGGATGTCATTGGAATGGTATAAATATGGAAAGCCAGAGTGACACTTTTACCCATTGACTGTTCAGAACACAGCCACCCTTTAGCTCTGTCCCTCTCCATGCAGTTGCTCCGTGTCACGTCTGCGTAGGGAGCAGTGACATGTGGGAACGGCTCACTTGCCATCCCCTCACTTACCCCTGGTTGGTCCCCCATTCATTCCGAATGCAAAGGTGCTTGTGCACGGGATCCTTCATGTAGCCTTCATAGCAGAGGCATTCCCCTTAGAAGGAGGGAAAGGAGGAAGAAAGAGAAACATGAATGAGTTGATTAACATATCAACATTTGAGAACATTTGCATTTGAGAACATTAATGTGTGATGGTCAGATTGGACTCAGACCCCACTAGTGGCATGAATGAGACAGTAAGTCCCATTATGTCTTCTCCTCCAATCTCCACCACCTACAGGGTGCACCCACCCACCAATCTCTCCATTTTCCAGGAAGTGACCACTTTCATGAGAGGAAACGAATCTTCAGAAAGCACCTATTGTATGTGGTCTGTAAGCACAAAGACCAACAATTCTTTTAAGGAAGTGACTTTTTCATCTCTGTTTTCTCAATGCCCAGTATACTACAAGGCACATACCAGGAGATCAATAATGTTTACAGACTGTGTAAGTGACTCATTTCATCAAATATTTCTAGTAATTTTGAAAAGTAGGTATTATGAGCTATGTTATGCTGATGAGGGAAGCTGAGGCTTGGAGAACTTGCAGGACTTGTTGATAGCTTGTAAGTAACAGAGTTAATATTTGAAATTATATGTGTCTGTTCTACCCACCCGGCCATGCTGCTGGCCCACAGAACAGCTGCTATGTTTAGAGAAAGCCACTTACACCTATTACTGTTTTACAGGAACTCTGGGTTTTAGCTTTTAAGTGAAAATGGCTAATTATCGTGGAGCTGGTAAACAGAAGCATCTCTATAATTCTACATTCGTCTAGGATATTACTATGCTTCATTGTCATTGGTTGCTCCATTGGTATGTCAAGAGGTCCATGAATCCTCTAGAATTGCATATAAAACTGCACATTATGTGTATATGCACTTTTCTGAAGCAGGGTTCCATAAAATTCATCTAACTTACAAGCAAATTCAAGATCCCTAAAAGGTTAAGAACCACTGGTCTATTTAGTACTGATTTGAAGAATATTGTTGCTGCTTCCTTACGCAATGCTATATATCCCCAGACTACTAAGTCCAGTTACATTAAAGCACTGGTTTTTACTCTTTTAACATCTGATTCTTTAATTTATAACTAGTCAAATAACAGAATGTGACTTACTGAAATTTGTAAATAACAAAGGTGCCACGCCTACAGAGACAATGGACATACCATTTCTTTCTCTTTCAAGGAAGAAACACTTAGAAAGGATATAGAATAATAGTTTTGAGTACTGTTTTCTCTTTCTGAAAATAAAACCCAATAACAATGAAGTGAAGGGGCCTCACAGTTAAGATCGGATAGGGTTTGAGCAGGGATTTGTTTTAGCATCTTGGCCTAACCACTCATTTCAAGACTGACCTGTAAGCTACCGGCCCTCAGAGCCTCACTGACCAGGTCACACCCATGTTCGTCCCCAACCTGCTCAGCTCAGTGTGCTAAGGAGTGGAGTGAAATGAGCGACTTCTTAATTTATGAAAAATTAAGGGAGTATTAGATCAGGACATTGTCTCCTGTATGGGAATTCTGGCATCCGCATGGACTGGATCCACAACAGATTCAAATCGGCTGGTTTCCGTGGTGCTGAGCTATATCTAGAAGTGATCAGGGAGCTCTGAGTCAAACATAGAAAGACACAGCTTGAAATTAGGTGGCTGATATGGCTTGCGGACGAAGGCTGTTTCTCTGACAAAAGGAAAGGTAAAAAAGGCAAGTGCAGAAAGGCAGGAGAAGGAAGTTCTAGGAGCCTGGCCTCACACCTTCTCAGTTCCAAAGAACACCTGGACCCCAGACTATCAGTCACACAGGGCAGACTATCAGATACCCCCCCAGGAACAGGCCTTTGGCAAATACTGGGCGATGAAAAATAAATTAATTAATTAGAGAGTTTGCCCTAAATGTGCAGATAACACCACCTGCCCCACTCCCAAGATGCAGGTATCTAAGTCAGTTAATAGATCCAGGGCTCAGATATACTTTTCCCTTAGATGATATTCTCCTGATTGTCCTTGTGGACAATTAGCCATGGGCAAGATATTTTAAAAAGCAGTGAGCACTCTCAGGAGGTTGTCAAACCCATCACTCAGTCTCTTAAAATGGTTTCAGCTGGACGCCTTGCCTAGAATTAAGGAATGACCAAAAACGGAGTACTCTTCCACATTTGATAGCAAGTTACCACAAAACATGCGAAAATAAATGCAGTAACAACTCAAAGAGTTCAAGCAGAGCCTTATTTTCCCAATGACGGCACTACCTGCCATTGGTATAGCATATTTTCCTTCTCAAATTGCCTTCGCGTCGTTATCTCCTTACGCGGCCCATCATTCAGTACTATGTGGGGACACACGCCAACAAGAGATAAAGCTTTTCTCCACAAAATGGCATATGCAGCCCAAAGTCCGAGAAACAGAGACATTTTCAAACACATCATGCTAGAGTTCGAGAATATCCAAAAATTTGCCTCTCAAAGCATCCTCACTTCCGGAACACACCGAACTTCCCTGGTCTGTATTCCTCCACAAAACCAGTTTGGCCATCTATACTGAAAGGAGTTCAGACTTGATGAGGAGAGTTGCTATGGCAACCAACTGCTAAATCTTGACTTTAAGAGGGGTTTCATGCAAGCACAGGCTCCGACTGTTAGCTGTGAATTTTAAAGACCCCACAAGGGTGTTGGATGCCCTCCTAAGCTAGAAGTGTTACAGTCTCCGCATCTGCTGCGACAGATGGCGGGGAACACATGAGGCGCCGGCTCTGTGGTGGCATACGTAGGAATCCAAGGGAGAGGCGACGCGTCATGGCACGGAGAAGCACCCAGCCAGGACAGAGCGCCCTGCAGGAGGTGCTTGGGCAGCTGCATGCCAAAGAGAAGAGCCCCCGAGAGATGGTCCGGGCAGGGTCTCAAGATGGCCATGCTTGATTTGTGCTTGGGGCTGGGAGGGCAAACTCCTGGAGGTACTTCGTATAATGGGTGATGCCTTTGGTCATTCCCCATTCTACAGCTGAGGGACCAAGGCACAAATCTCACCCAAGGGTTAAAGACCTTGAAACTCGGGCTCCTCAGACACGACTGGGCTCATTACACGTTCTTTGTAAGGTAAATGCAGGTGGAAGGTAAAAGCCCAGGGTCACCTCTACACTTCAGGGAGTGGCTGGCTTTCACTAAGTGAACTGGGTGTGCTCCATCTAAAAAGGGAAACCTTTGTAAGACATCTGGACTCAGCAGTATCTAACTGCTTGGCCTCTCTCCCCTGTGGAGACATCAGGCAAAAGGCAGGTCCAGGGTCCAGCAGCCCCCTACGACTCTGGAAGGAGAGACGGAGGACAGGTGCCAAAAGTACTTCCTGAAGGAAGGGGCTGAAACAGAGTCACAAAAGTGAGTCTGGAATGAGTGGGCAATCCAGGTGGCAGGAACTAAATGATTAGGACTGAGCTACCCTGCCAAATCAGGTTCAAGAACTCAGGGAAGATTAGAGAGAGGCAGCGGTTCAGAGACAGGCAAAGGGGAAGAGGGTTGGATTGAGTCGGGACGCGGGTCTGATGCCCCTCAACAGGTTCACACGTGTCCACACAGTTGGCTCCGACCTGTGGAAAGACCTGGGACAGAAGGGATCTCAGTGAACATCTTGGATGGAGATTAAAACTTAATTTAGCTTGGAAGCCTGTGTTCCTTGCAGAACCATAAAAGCTACGTATCTTGAAAGGGCAATGAGTGTCTGTGGCCAAGATCGATGAGGGCTGTGAGACGAAGCAGGTGTGTGGCCCCCACAGCTGTCCACATGGCAAAACAAAGACCAGGAATAGCAGGGAGAAAAGTTGCGGAAACCAGGCAGTCTGTGTTTCCACCAGAAGACAAAACAATCACATAATCATACAACCACAACGAAAACTCTTAGAAAGTGCAGGAAAAGTCAGCCTCCGGCTGGGTCCAGTGGAGCTCTAAGTCATATAGCCTTAATGCTTTGCTGTTGGCCCAGCTTGAGCAGAGACACCTGAGGTCACAAACCTGGGCAGGCCTGGGAGAGAATGTCAGTGTGCAGCTAGCAAAGGGCTTCATCAGAGGGCTGGGGCCCTGCCTTCCAGCACATTCCCTTCCTGAAGCTTGAGCAGTGGAGTGGGCTTGCACAGTGATCGGGAGCGTGAGTTTTGAGTCGGGCAGCCTGAGTGTGAGTCCTGCTGGGCCATTAACGAGGCAAGTGGCCTTGGGCAAATTTGTCAACATCTCTGTAAGATGGGGATAAATGCAGTGTGGACTTCACAGTGTTACC